AGGGAATCAGGTGCTGAAAAATTGGATTTCGGATCTTGTAAGCCTCCTGAAAATTTCAGATGTGGATTGTGTAAGAGGTTTCTTTCACAGAGATCGCCTTGGAGTTCTAGACATGGGGATATCCCCGTTGCTGCTGCCATTCTTTCATGCCGTCATGTATTTCATGCAGAGTGCTTGGAGCAAACAACAATAAAGGTACACAATTGACCCGCCATGCCCATTTAGTTTAAGGTTGAAAAGGAAAATTCCCCAGATCAAGTTGAGGAGTTATTTTACTCAAGGCTTAAACATTTTCGTGAAGATGGGCCATCCAAGCCTTGGAGCTATTCACAAGAAGGAGATTGTGTTGAACAGGCTTTGCATTCACCTACTCACAACAATCCATTTAACCAAAATCGATTCAGGCCAAATCTTTCCTTCGAAGGGCAATTCTATTAGGGAATTCCGAGGGAAATTGTGGAAAAGTGGCTCTTATTCGACCCAATTATTTGTCGGATCAGTGGATCATGGAGCTGCTGGATCTTCGTAGACTAGTGACAACAGCTGGTTCCAGATGAAGTACAGCACTAATATACTGTATTTCTAAGCTGGCTCCAGTATGAAACATGATCAAATATAAGCTTCTGTATTTCTACATGTTTCCTAATTTTAAGTGAAAAAGATTATTATTTTTATATTATTTTATTGACACCACACATTTAGAAGAATACAATTTCTGCATGGCTAATGAAAAGTTCAATCTTTTTATTTGGTGGTTCAAGATTATGTGTCTTGCCCAAATGACAAAAGGAGATGAAAAATTAGCCTTCAACAAAGACATTTCTCCATGAATTTCACAAACTCATAAAAATCAATTACTCCATCACCATTACCATCAAAAGCTGTGATCATTCTTCTGCATTGTTCCAATTCACATCCTTCCTTTAGGCCAAGGCTGCACAGAACTCTTTGCAGTTCATTAGCATCAATAAAACCATCTTTTTTATCATCGAAAACATCAAAAGATTCCTTAATCTCTTGCAAACTTGGCTCTTCATTAAACAATGCTGCAAACTCGTCTATGCTAAAACTCTCGTCCCCTCCATCTTCTGCATACTCTATACCGAGTCTAGTCATCAACATATATAACTCTGTAATGTGAAAGTTTTCGCCGTTTGAGGCCTCGGAAGTTCTTGATTCTTTATTAGATGGATTGGATTTCCTCCAAAGGTTCCATTTGGTGGGAAAAAACCTTGGAAAAGTTTGGAGAAAGAAATGGACACTTGAAAAAAAATCCTTAATGTCCCACCAAAGAACTTTAAAGAGTATAACTATCAAAGATGAAGTGGTGTTTTTTTGTGTCAATCCCATCTTGAAACCAATGAAATTTCTTGTCTCTCTTGGGGTGTGTGTGGGGGTGGGGGGCTGCAAATGGTGGGTGGAGGCTTATGTGTATATATATTTGTGTGATTTCTCTACATCTGATCATCTTATTTATACTATGGAAAAAGGTTGTCTCTGAATGTGTCAGACAAGAAATTTAGGGTTTCGTCTTTGTGCGTTGATCCCACAAAATTTCGAGGAAATTTGAACGATGCAACACGGAAAAAAGTTAAAGAACAATTATGTCTCCAGAGATGACAAGAAAATGTAAAGAAGTTTCTTGGAAATGTTTTTGCTTTTTTCATATTGAAAAGGACACTATGAAGTTCTGATATTTAAAATACTAAGTATGTTTCAATGACTTCACGTTGAAGTATAAATCTAGTTAGAAATTGAGTATAATTCACAATTTCTCGCTCAAATTGGACGAAAAAGTAGTTTCTCTTTTATTGTGCAGTAATTGGTGTAGCACGGCATTTCACATTTAGGTGCTTTAATTGGCATGACCTAAAATTTTTAGTGGGATGGGTTAGCTAATACCTAACAATAACTTTTCTGATAAAATTTAGGGAAAAATTGGAATGCCATTGTTTTACTTTTATTATTTGCAAATTACTTTTGCTTATTTTTAATTATACATTTAATATAATATTTTTCGCATTTCTTCATAATTTTTCCTGCCTTTTAAGAACATGTTAAAAAAACTTTTTTCTTCAAATAATCACTTCTCAAACAATATTTATCAAAGAAGCGCGCCTATGCAACGTTTTGAAAAAGTAAGATAAGTTTGGAATACTTTTAAAAAATTTTGGTTTTTGAATTATTAATTAATTTGGTGCAACTACTCTCCCTTACCAGTGGATAGCAAGGCAATCTAGTGATCTTTCATTAGAATTAGTTTTCACCCTCCAAATAAGTGACCCTAAATGGTAGTTGAAATTTCTTATTCCCTTCAGTATTGGTGTGTGACCTAGTCTACCATATTCTACCACATTCGTAATTTGATTTAATTCAGTCATGAAAAATCATTGGATTCTTAGGGTCCGTTTGATTGTAAAAATGGAATTTGGGTGGAAAGGAAACGAATTCCAAAAAATTGAATTGTTTATAAATTATTTTTCTGGGAATCGTAAATTATTATGTTTGATTAGTATAATTTTTCACGTGGAAAAGGTTGAAATAAAAGTGTTTTTTGGTGTTCGTTTGTCTTTGTTTTACATGAAAATTATCAATTAAAGAGATAAATTTTACTGGTATTGGGGATGAAATTTGTTTCCATTGCAAAAAAAAAATAAAAAAATTCAAGAAAATCATCTATCTTTCGGTGTTCGTTTAACTTTGTTTTACATGGAAATTTTCAATTAAAGGAAAGTATTTTTTTTTACAGTAGATACTATCACATTCTCATCATTACGACCAATTTCCTTATTTTCAATGTAATGTAAATAGGGAAAAGTATTATGGTCTGAAAATGATGCCTCACATAATCAATATGATTAATAAAAAGATGGAAATCTAATTATTCTATAGAATTTTATTATTATTCACTCCTGCAATTAATTATGCATCCAAATCAAAGCAACAAATTTTTTGCATGGAGATTATAGGGAGAGCAAGAGTGTGTTGCATTCAATATGAAATTCTGATCCAACAACTCTCCCCCAGACCACGTCCAAATTGTTAATTTTATTATTTCAATGAACGAACATATGAATAATGCAATCTTCACAATATTTCATCCATCTTGAGAACCATAGCTAGTCCATAATTACGGCTCCAATTTCAAATTCTAAAGGGCTTTCATTCCAAATTTCGTCTTCTTCAATTATATGACATCATTCTAACTGAAAGAAACAACTCAGTCTATATTAAAATCAAGAACCATTTTTCAAAAAAATAAAAAAATTAAAAATTAAATAAGAATAGATTCCATATACAGGAGCCATAAAAGAAGATTAAAAGATTAGATTGTTAGGCAGCACATGCAAAGAACACACAAGCAGATTGCTTAGTCAGAGAGAAGGGGGAATATCAATAAATCAAGAGACATAGATATAATTGTCTATTTTCTGTGTAGCATAGTGTTTGATTCATCGGTATCATCACATCAAATCTCTTCAACAAAGATCACAACTACACAGAAAATTGTAAGAGACAGAGAATAAATTATGTTCGGTGAGAGAATTCATTCTGGTCTCCCCTCTTGATATGAATTAGGGTTTTAGTATGTGGTATAATAAATGATTTGACCATACCGAGAATATGTTATATTTATAACGAAAATGATCTTCTAAACACCAGTGCTTAACTTATGCTTCACCAATTAAATGATGTGTCATGTCACTGTTGTTTATATTCACCAATTAAATGGTGTATCACGTCCTCAGTGCTTAACATAAACTAAGCATCAGTAATTAGGAGATCATTCTTGATATTTATAACATATATTAAGCAAGTCCTAAAGCTATTGGATAGAGCCCACAACAATAAATAAGTCAAGTCCATCCCGTTATGACACAATAAGTAATACATTATGTACCTGTTACTCAATAATATATGTCCATAATATATTTGATTTACACAAATTGAGTAAATTAATAATAATTCTGTTAGTCCATATAAAATATTCTAACATAGTCATCAAATTTATATACCTAAGGAATTAGGTTATCTTGGAATTGTCACATTATTACATAACAAATTTAGGTCATGGAGCACCGAAAAATTGTTAAAGAAAAATCCTCTCCTAGAAGGACAAGAAAAGGTGAAGAAGTTTCTTAGAATTAATAATTTATTTTTCATGTTGAAAAGGTTTCTATGAAATTTCCAATGCTTTAATCCTACGTATCTTTTGATGACTTCATGTCGAAGCATAAACCTAGTTAGATAATTGTTAAGATCAAATTGGTCTCTAACAAACTTTTTTCCTTTCTCTAATTTTTACTGTAAAAAATTATAAATAAAAAATTGGGTAATTACTAATTAGACATGATTAGTCTTGATTACTGGGCTGTGTCATCGGTAAAATAACTCTCGGCCGTTACACTTTACAATAACTTGTCTTTGGGGGAGAGAAAAATTAAAATTTGAAAAAATTAATTATCCATCCATAATATATTCAATTTTGAGAGTAAAACAATCCATATTAATTTAAAATAGAACATAGAAACATCAAATTCAGCTACAAGGCCCAAAACTTGGACAAGTAGTTAGTTATTTTAATTCTTGTAATCTAATTAGGCTAAAAATTTGGACAATTTTTTTTTAAAAAAAATTCAATTTGAACTAAAAGTTCTAACTGACTAATCGAACCGAATCGAATCGAACCGATTTGTGTGGTTCAATTCGGTTTAGAAATCAGAATGGATTAATTTGGGTTGAAATTCACCCAAACCGACTAATTTGATTTTGGTTTTGATTTCAATTTTGAGTAGAAACCAATCCAAATCAAACCACGCCCATGTCTAATTGCAACCTTAGTTTAAGCGGCATCAATATGATATTAAATAATAAGTGAAATTAAATAATTTATTTTCACCTTTCATTTAGCCTATAATCTAGCGTTACTTAAAATGAGAATACAATCCCAGTCGAGCTATATAGGAGTACTTTTTTAACAATCATTGTCCTTGCCTCTCTTTAGCTATTTCATTTGCATCTTTTGTTTCTAATTGGGTGGTGTTTCCCTCTCCACATACATTTTATATTTAGTTGTGAAAAATGTCATGTGTATTTGAGTGAGCAAATCCTTATTTTGAGAAACAACTGAAAAAGGTGAATTTGAACATATTTTTTGTTCAAAAAAATCAATAGCTAAAACTGGTCGAACTGTATCCTGGCCACCAATTTTCATTTAATTTGCCGATTTATCGGGTCTTGTACTACCTTATGTATATAAGGTTTTTAGGTTGCAACATGAACGAGCTATGGAGCGGCTCTCGGATTTCACGATTGAACTGGTTGGTCTAATCCAATTTTAACAATATTAGTTGATTCTTCAAACTAGAGAACATTTTATATTTAAAGAGTCTTTGGAAAATATTCTTAAATCCTTATTTTGTTAAATAAGAATTTTTCATAGTTGCTTGATAGGCTCAGAAGATAGGAAAGATTAAAATAGATCCAATAAATAAGGCTGAAATATTTATGAATTTGAAAATTAATATATAATAAACAAAAAGGCATGATTTAATTAGTATTAATGTATTTTTGAAAATAAATGTATGTAAAGAAGTTGAAAAAAAAAAAAAGAAGAAAAAAAAGGCGGTACAGATGCTAATTACCACATTACTCTATCTATTCCATTTATATAAGCTTAAGAAATTTTATTTAATACTGTTGAAAAGGCAATTTTTGCTAAAAACTTTTCTAGTTTACCCTTATATAAATTTTTGTACAATTTCAAGATTAAGTGGGGAAAATTTGGTTATAATTAGACAAATTAAATAGAGGTATATTAGTAAACCAACAAAACAAAACATTCTCAATAAAGAAACATGACTATATAATTGGGACAAAAAAATAAGAAAAGTCGGCTTATATAAATAAGACGGAGGGAGTAGAAATTATTGTGGCATAGTGGCGTTTATTGAGTGGGCAAATGTACAAGTAGTTCAATTTAGCATTGTTGACAAATGACAATTACCAGTTCTAATGCGCATAAGTTCGAAAATAAAATTATAAAATAACTGAAAAAGAGAAGAAAAAAGAAGGACGTACGAAAACACACGTAACTTGTCGGATTTTCGCGGGCGAGTACAATCCGAAAGCATTTTTTTGATTTTGCATTCGGCCAATATGGTCAAACTTTTGGTATCAAAATTCTATTGTTTAGGGGTTTATTTTAATGTTTTTCTGTTTTTATAGTTAATTTTAGGATATTTTCGTCATTTTTGTAGTTTTTAATTTTATTTATATTTGTCTACCGAATTAGGATTTTGATTAGATTAAGATTTGTTTTGAGTCTTTATATATTTTGTTAAGGATTGAAAATGCTATAGTCCTTTTTAAATTAATAACAATTCAATTTTCCTATTGAAACCATCTCTTTTTGCTTCGAAAACATCGAAAGTTTTCTAACTTCTTACAAACTGGGCTCTTCATCAATTTACATCGAAAACATCGAAAGTTTTCTAACTTCTTGCAAACCGGGCTCTTTATCAAAGAGCACTGAAAACTCGTCCACACCGCCGTCTTTTCCATCTTCTGCACACACTATATTCAGCCTATCCATCACCATATTCAGCTCCGTGTTCTGAAAGTTTACGTTGATTGAGGTCTCTGTAATTTTTGATTCTTTATTTGATTGTTCACCGTTAGATGTCCGGACACAGGAGTGGGCATGGATCACGTGACCCCCAAACGTTTTATGCTTTTGTTTCATTTTTCGAAATCATTATGAGATGTCAAATGAAATCGAAATATTGCATTTTTGAAATCATTTTGAAGTGTTCACGACTTAATTTTCTACATTGTTAATGGTGGTTGAAACGACTAACTGTAACAAATGTTACAGTTTGTAAAAATAGGTCATTTCAAACTAATATTTCGAAAATTTCGATAGCATGCTAACATTAAAAATTTTCCAACGATCGTACGCTAGCCGAATCCACAAATTGCCTACATCATCTTGAAACTATTTCGAGAACTACATCATAGACATACTGAATGATCCAAATAGATATAAGAAATAGTTTACAATGTGTCAAACATGCTTCTTTAAACGAGACGTATAACTCGTATTTTCTTTAAAAAATTTTATTATTATTATATTTGCGATACAGAGTTTCAATATAATTTACATAATTTTATTAAATTTTTTTACATGGGATATGACATCAAATATTTTTGAAATCTTACTCCGAACAAGTCATACCCACGTCAATTTTTTGATGTAAAATTACATGGGGTATATTTTTTTGGATGTAAATTTTCAAATAAAAAATTCTTCACGACTTTTTTGTAAGTTTGATTGTGTCCATCTAACTTCAAGTATCTGCATCTGCCTTTGAATGATGCTTCTTGTTTGATTTCTATCATCTCGTCGATGTCGTCATTACAACATCCTGATATTTATACAATAAACCTAAGGGATTAGCCAATTAGGTTATCTTTTAAGGTGTCTGTGTGTGAATCATGAGTATCGGAAGTTTAGGATTTGATGCCACAAATTTTCAAGGAAACTGAATTTTTGTCAATGGAATACCGAGAAATTGTTAAAGAAACACTATCCATCTTTTTGGGAGGCAGTGTGGACGTGGACAGTCGGCCGAAACACGTACATAGGAAGGAGGTAAAATTCAATTAACCAGTGTTGGACGGGGGCGGCTGTGGGCGGCCCCGTCTTTGAACTTGGACTTCACCTTGGCTGTCCAGCAGGGTAGAGTAAAATTATATGGAACTTTCTTGGAAATATTTTTTTTTTTTTGTTAAAAAGGTTTCTATGAAATTTCTATGACATTTAAGCCGCGTTTGGCTTAATTAAATTCTATTTCATTTTTCTCTATTTTTTATTTTTAATATTACAATTTTCTATAAAATAATATTACATGTAAACCGAAAATTTTTCATTCTTTTTCAACTACTCATTTTTCAAAGAAACACTATTCCACCTATTTTCATTTTAAAAAAAGGGGGCCAAACGATGGCTAATATTAATAAGTTTGTTTCTATGACTTCATGTTGAAGTATAATACTTGTCGTCTTCTTTCTCAGACAGACCTTTTTTATTTTTTTATTTTATTTTATTTTGTACTAATTACTGTGGCATGGTGACAATTTTTTTTAGTGGGGAGAAGCGCAATGCTAGTGATGTACTTTCGGTGAGGCACATATTTAGGTCTCCTAGTTGACACGACTGTAAGTTAGCTGAAAAATAATTTTTCTAGCTCTTGTTCCAGCTTCATTTTTTAATTAAAATACATTTTTCAACGTTAATTTGTTATTATTTCAATCCTACATTTTTCAATAAAATAATATTACACATAAATTAAAATTTTTTCCTTATTTTTATAATACACATTCTCCATCATAGCACCATTTCAAGATGTATATTTTTTTTTTAAGAAAAATGGGGCTCAAACAACCCCTAATAAAAATTGATCCCTATGTGCATTGTCGATTTTGGTGTTCGATATATAACTTCTATGAAGTTTTGCTAGTTAATAACATAAATGGTCATTGGACTTCATAAAAAGTTTTATTGGGGTCATTAAATTTTAAAAATCACCCAGATTATCACTGAACTTTGCAAAAGAATTTCACGGAATCATTAAACTTTGCAAAAGGTTTTCATGGGATTACTGAATTTCAAATATCATCCATTCATCACTGAATTTCGGAAATTTTGAAAATCTTTTGCAAAATTCAGTGCTCTAGTGAATTTTTTTTTTCAAAATTTAGTGATGAATAGATTTATTTTTAAAGTTCAGTGACCCCGTATAAACATTTTATAAAGTTCAATGATGAATTGGGTGATTTTTAAAATTCAGTGACTCCGTGAATTTTTTTACAAAGTTCAGTGGCTATTTGGATTATTAACCCTTAGTCTAGCACATTCTCTTCTTAGTGCTCGTAGAACTATCAGGGACAGACTTCAACTCTGCACAAGAGGAGTCCTTGTGATGTGATCCAAGGGAGACCACAAATTACCAAGAATTTGATGATTGAGTGGAAGAGCCTAAAGCTAAGTTCGAGAACTTGAAGGGTTAATAAAGCCACGTAAATTACTTGTTCGAGTTATGGAGTTCAAAAGGATGGAGTGTGCAAGCCAAAGTACAAGTTTCATGTTGGGGCCGAATTTCGAAACAATTTGGATCAATTTGGTAGAAGCGGTGAAAGGAGTAGTCCAATGGACAATTATGCGAATCGGACAATTATGCGGTCGCATAGTTGTCCAAGCTATGCTACTGCATAGCAGTGAGCAGCGAGCTTTGGAGGCTAAAACACATGAACTACGCAACTGCATAGGGGACTACCATGCGCTCCATTGTCCACTCTGGCAATGAAAATTTTCCTTTTTTCGCAAATCTTTTGTTTTGACTAGAACTCTTTTTTTTTTTTTTTTTTTTGGTATTTTTTTTTTTTTTGTAATAATTACTGTGGCAGGGTGACATTTTTTGAGTGGGAAGAAACGCAATCCTAGTGATGCACTTTCGGTGAGGCTCACATTTAGGTCTCCTAGCTGAAAAAGAATTTTTCTATCCTTTGTTTGAGCTCAATTTTTTCCATCAAAATACATTCTTCAATAGTAATTTAACATTATTTCAATCACACATTTTTCAATAAAATAATATTACACGTAGATCTAAAATTTTTCTTTATTTTTTAATCACATATTCTCCATTATGACACTATTTCAAAATGTATTTTTTTTAAAAGAAAAATGGGGCTCAAACAACCCCCAATAAAAATTGATCCCTAAGTGCATCGTCGATTTCGGTGTTCGATATATAACTTCTATGAAGTTTTGCTAGTTAATAACCTAAATGATCATTGAACTTTGCAAAAAAATTTATGGGATCATTGAACTTTAAAAATCATTCAGATTATCACTGAACTTTGCAAAAGGTCTTCACGGGATCATTGAACTTTACAAAAGGTTTCTATGGGATTATGAATTTAAAAATCATCCATTCATCACTGAACTTTGGAAACCTTTTGCAAAATTCAGTGATTCCATGTAAAATTTTTTCAAAGTTTAGTGGTGAATGGAGTTATTTTTAAAGTTCAGTGATCCCGTATAAACATTTTGTAAAGTTTAATGATGATTTGTATGATTTTTAAAGTTCAGAAACTCCGTGAATTTTTTTGCAAAGTTTAGTGACCATTTGAATTATTAACCCAAGTTTGCCTTAGTCTAGCACATTCTCTTCTTAGTGCTCGTAGAAATATCAGGGACAGACTTCGAATCTGCATGAGATATTTAAATTGAAACGTAATTGTCTTGACTTACCGACCTACTGATTATATTTAATGAAAATAGTGCATGAACTAATGGAATGTACCAATGCAATTTAAATAACAAGTGGGATACGACGTGCATACACTATAAATTAACCATGACAATTTTTTATTTGTTTGTTAATTAAGCCATAATCAGAACTCATTTAAATATAGAAGTTACACTTTTTCTTATTTTATTGTCAAAATTAGTTGATAAGGCCATTGTAAAGAAAAATGGGAGAAATGATGTTTTGAATTTACGTACAAAGTATTTTAATATGTAAATGTATGATTAAAAGTGAATATGAAAAATAAAGAATTTTAATTTATCGACTGGTAATTATGTTCAAGTGCTAATTTTTAATTGATTAGGATAGGATCCGAGGAAGCATAGCTGTTTACGCACCATTATGTATTGTTAGCAGAAAATAAGAATAGTTAATGACGGTGATATCAATGTTTGTTTTGTATTACAATTTTTTTTTTTTTTTTTTTTTTTTTTTATCTTTAAAGCTATTCAATTCTATTTATTTCAACTATAAGACTAACGAGAATTGATTTAGAATTGTACTGAACATTAAGGTAAGTCGAACTAAAGCTAATAGTATCCGCTGGTGTGTGTGTGTATATATATATAAACATATAATTTCAAAAGTATTGAGTGAAGTATCATCCTACGAGATATGATTTTTTATTTAATCCTAATTAAAAGTAACCCTAATAGAACGTAGATTTTTATTTAGTTTTAAAATGGGGGGTTTTCATAATTAACTTAAATTAGCAAATTCTAATAGGGAAATCAGAAAATATCGAGGTAGAATTTAATTAAGAAAATAATTAGAAGTCTTGATTTCACTAATTAAACCTACTGATATAATGGTATTCAATAAATATTTTGGTTCGTTGTGTTGTCAATCATTAGATCCAAGATAAAATATTCAAGTTCGACTCTCGATTACTAGTTAACATATCTCTAATTATCAAACTTTCCTCCCTCAATTAATAATTTGATGAAAGTGATGCATAATAATAGAGGACAATAACTTAAATAAGTAGAAAACTTTCAATTTAACAACAAATTAATGAACAGTAAGTTTGAGTATTCTAATATGCAATCTCTTGATTAACCCGTAAACAACATTTCAAAAATCGATCCGAACTTTGACCTAAAAAATGGAGATGATCAAGTGTCAAGGGGTCGAATTGGAGTCTAACCAAGACAGTATTTAAAAATTTAAAAATTTAAATTAAATAAATACAAAAAATTAAAAAAATAAAATAAAAAAATCAACAAATGTGAATAAAGTTTAAATTATGGGCCAAAAGGCCCAAAATCTGCCATAATTTGTCATAGTTACATGCCCCATGAATGCAAACTCTATTATTTAAACACCTTCATTTATTTCATGCGAACATTTCGTGCCTTCATTATCTTTGGAT